TGTTTGGTGTGAATATCATGAAAACAACGCCATTAAATAACATGGAGCTCCACTGTAAAGTAATATATATATTTAAGCCTTATATCACAAACATTTCAATAAACTGTAGTGACTTTAAAATGTGTTAATTTCAATTGATGAATATAAAAAGGCTACCAATGTATTTTACATGGTTCCTACAGTAATTTACTACTATTTTTACTATTTTAATAATGACTTCATGCTGATGTGGATTTAATCTGTTGTTTATTTGAACAGTGGTTCGGTGACATCTAGATCTATCTCCCATCAATCTAAAAATAGGAATGGACAAGACCAGAGGGGACTTTGTAATTAGAAAGCAAATCAGGTCGTTTTAAACCCTCGTTTACTTGTTTCTATATTTTTCATGCTTTTACGCTGCGTAATTACGCTGCCGCTGATCCAGAACCTGCTCGAACCGCATCGACCTTAAAAGAGGAAATTTTATAAAATGGTCTCAAAGACATTTTTAGACATAAACGTTAGGTTTCTCCTCCAGGCCAAAAGAGCCCCTGATATAACAGGAATCAGTCGAGCAATAAAGTCCTGGAAGTCCTAAAACCAAACAAACTATCAAACAAAAAATCACATTCAAGTTTTTTTTTGTTTGTTTTTTTTAGTTAGAACAAAAATCTGAACTCACCTGCCGTCACTCCTCCGATGCCCAGGAGGAACATCAGAATGAGGCTCCTCATTTTCTCCTGTTGGATCGAAATCTTTACAACTGCGAAAAATTGTGAGTCTGTCCAGATGAAAACTCTGCGTCCTGCTCGAGGGTTGGAGCTGAAATGAGGAGAAAACATGGAGAGTTGAAGCATCATCCTCCATCTGAACCAATGAGAATTTATTCTGGGTGTCAACGTCACTTAAATCTGGGTTAAACTCACTCACTGAGGTTATGAACGAAAGTGAAAGTAAAATCTGCTTATTTTAACCAGTTTAAGATGATGGAAGAGCTGTGGGATTCATTTGGAGTTTCTTCACTTTGTAGTTCATGACAGCAGTATTTTATATTTTATCTTCGGCTGCTCAGACTGTTAATAATGATTTTATTCTAATGTGATATAATGAACAGACATGAATTAGTTTTCTGGGTCAGAGGTCTCTAAACTACAGAAATACTGATCCACACTGGAGCTTGTGTGATGAACTAACATCTTATTGTGTTTTCATATTATTTATGGCTTCCTGTGATTTTAAACATTTCTGATCAGAAACATCAAAGTGTGGTTTCATCGCTGTTCAGAGAGTTTCTTGGTGAGCTGCTCCCTCCAGTGGTTCAAAGCTCCACATCCTCAGAGTGAACTGTGGAGGACAGAAAGTGTGAATAAGATGTTTATTTTACAACAGATCTGAGTGCAGGTGAATCATTTTGTCATTAAATGAGATTGTGGGAATCATCTTATATTCTCATATTTGTATCTTGTATTCATGTGTCAGTGTGTGAAGGTATTTCATTAATCACAGGCCTCAACATGACTCCTGGTATAAGTTAGATCAACTATCAGCACTCACAATATAATAATAAAACAGAACAGTGTTGTCAGTCAAAGCAGAAAGAGTCAGAGCTTCTTCAACACCAGCATCAGATCAGTTCTGTCCTCCAGGATAAATGCTGCTGAACTGACTGAACGCTGAAAACTGTCTGACTGAAGAGAAACTCAAAACCACAGTTGATGTTTGGACACCTGATGCTGTTTCTCTTTTCTTTTCTTGCTTTGCTTCTGTTCTTATTTCACTTATCACTTGCTGTGTTTGAGGCACTTCAGAATTATTTAGAATTTAGGTGGGATCTCAAATGTAATTGGATGATAGACGTATCCTGATTGTGCCAGTTTGAACTGGAAAGACAAGCCCCTGGCCCTATTTATAATTTGTTCTGAAGGCGGAACAACACAGTACTGCTACATGTTGGGTGCAGTTTGTGACAGTTTTTGTGTAAAATTTCTTTTCTCTTTCGTTATTTTTGTTTCTTTTTTCTTATTTTTCAGCACTTTGTTTTTTGTTTTTTTGGACAGTGTGATGCAAGGCTACCTACACCTGTCCTTGCAACAGTCTGTTTCATCTGTGAATTTGTCAGCACAGTTTCTAATGTGTTTGCATCACAACTTGTTCCATTTTTTTTTCTGTCTGTGGAGTTTGAGGAGGTTTGTACTTGCAAGCAATTTACGTGTTTCTCACATCAGAATAAGGAGTTAATCAGAAAACTTCCAAAGCTAAATAATTGAGGGAAATGAACATTTTATCAAAGACATTATTTCAGGTGATGTGATTTCACCTTTTCTCATCAGAGAGCTCCTCCCGTAGTTCACATACTTCTTCAGCCACTGAGGACATTCCTGGGTGATGTAGTCCTTGTCCTTTTGATAAAGAGATCTCTCATGGTCCCATTTCATTTTGATTATTAAAGCCTGTCGTTTTGGGGCGATCCATGTATCTGTCTTCAGGTCAAGTACTAGGTAGTCTTCTCCATCATAACCAAAGTGATTAAAACCAGTAACCTCTCCAGCCTCATCATCCCATTCACAGCCATACATCCTCTGAACAATGTGGACACCTGAGATACAGAGAAAGAGACGACAATAAATCAGAGCAATACAGGCAATTATTAACAGCTTATATAATCTTTATCATCTTGGCCTAATGGAAGCTTCAAACATCATCTGACCTGTGCGGCCAAAGGACAGAGACAGAAAAGCAGAGACTGCTATGAAGCAAGATTCTGATACGGTTTATATCCTCTGCTTACCACACTGACCAACACACAGTGTGTGTCCACTGCTGAAGGAGCTATAACTTGATGTGAACTGCAGGAACACACTCGCACACTGAGGTGGAGTCCTGAGCAGCAGACACACATTAAAGCTCATCCTGGATTTAACATCACATCCTCTGAAACTCTGCACACACTCCATCGGTCCCACAACATCCTGGTCCTGTGAGGAACTACACACCAGACTGTCCTCAGGTTTTTCTACAAGCTTCCACTGAAGGACACTTTCAGAGCCATTAGTCACCAGACTGCACCTGCTCAGCCAGAACAGAGAGTCCAGTTCACCAGTGTTACTGCAACTGGTCACAATAAACCACAGACCAGCAGCACCAGTATGGAGACTGGGAGATGGTCTGTGTGTCCTGACTGGATTTTCAAAACATTAAAAGACTGCTTCTGTGATGGAAAAAAATACTTTGCTCTCTCTGTAGTTAAGCCTCTGAAGATGATACTGACCTTTCATGCTCTAAACTTCTCCTGACCTTCTCAAACGGATATTGTATGACATCAGTCTATAAATCCCATACCAGATATACACCAGTCCACAAATTTTCTTCTATACAATCTTGACCCCATGTAGATGTATTGTAGGAGGACAGGCAGGCACTCCTTGTGCCTCTCAAGACCAGATTGCACTAGGCACCGAGCTATCTTCTTGTTTCCCCTTCCGTCCACAAATCTAGATATGGTTTCCCATTGAAGGGCGGTATAAGGTCTAAGGTACGAGAGAATCCTCAGAATTGATGCTGGCATTGATTGCAAAAACTGCTGCTCTGTTGGTGTCACTTCTCCTGATATCAGTAAACCTTATTTCAACCTAAGTCATCTGAGTCTCCAGTGTGTCTCTCTGTGTCGGCCTCCTCATCCTCTCTCGACCTCGCTGAACTTCCACAACAGCTTCCATGTGCAGATGAGTTTTTTTGTACATGTGTGTAAAATTGCAGTTAAATTTATACAGAGTACCTGTGCTAAATTTCTCTTCTTCTTCACTTGAAAAGTTATACAGAGAAAAGGTCAGTGTTTCATTATGTCATTGCACAAGACGACTGTTTCAGAAGCTGACATATCAACATGTGGTTAAAGTGATACTGGCAGCGTTACTGTGCAGAATACAAAAAGGGTGCTGAAGCCCAAGACTTAACTCACAGCCTCTGATTGTGCAAACTAACATCTTAACACTACTGTGTCTTCATTAGAGTAAAAGTCTGATTGTCTGTTTGTACAATAAAAGGCTGTGAATTAATCAGCCCCCTTTGTTATACTTGCAAAATTTGCTGTCTTCAAGCTGAGAAGCACTTATTTCAGCTGTTTCTGCTGCTTGCTGGAGGATGCCCAGAAAACCATGTTTCTACTCGTGTTACTGTACATTAAGCAAAGAAACATGAGGTGAAACAATGCAGAGGTGGAAAAACTCAAGCTGAAGGTACCAGTTGCCCTTTCAAGTGCAAAAGTATCACTAATTTAAACACTGGTACCTAGAGCAACTACAGATTCATAACTTGACAGAGTACCTTTTATTTCTCAAAAGTAAAGTCTGTCAATAACCATGAAGTCATGAAACCTGAAATGGACGTTTGAATCGAAAAATGAGGAGCTGGTGCAGAGACACACATCCTGTGTTTATTATGGTCTGTACCTGACTATGTTAAGCGCTATGAGATGACATATGTTGACATATGAACGGGCACTACATAAATAAATAAAATTGAATTAAACTGGGGCTGCAGGGTGGCGCAGTTAGTAGCACTGTTGCCTCGCAGCAAGAAGGTTGCCGGTTCACGTCCCAGTGGGGGCACCGGAATCTTTCTGCGTGAAGTCTCCATGTTCTCCCCGTGCAGCGTGGGTTCTCTCCAGGTTCTCCGGCTTCCTCCCACACAGTCCAGAAACATGTTGAGGTTAATTGGTGATTCTAAATTGTCCGTAGGTGTGAATGTGAGTGTGCTTGGTTGTCTGTCTCTAAGTGTAGCCCTGTGATAGACTGGTTACCTGTCCAGAGTGTCCCCTGCCTTTGCCCTAAGTCGGCTGGGATAGACTCCAGCCCCCCTGCGACCCTAGTGAGGATAAAGCGGTGTATAGATAATGGATGGATGGATGAATTAAACTGAATTAAATATGGCTGCACAATACAACAACACTATGCCATATTTTAAATTGTGCTCTTTGCTGCAGAATGATGCTACTCAGACAAAACCAACTTTTCTTTTTAAAGGTCCACCACTAATTTGTCACCTAAATCTTAAAGGACAAAGTGTGAATCCTCACAAAGCCAAATTTAGCCATTTAATCTTATAATTTGTATAATTTCTTATGTTTACAGTATAACGTGTCCCTTTTTTCTCTGTGTATCCAAGTATTGAGTTTCTAAGCATCAACGGTGTTTCTCACATCAGAATAAGGAGTTAATCAAAAGGATCATCAGAGTTTTGCCTGCATTGTCTTGTTTTGTTTTGATTCCTTTAATGCACTGAAAAACACAGCCGAGCTCTGCAGGAGACGGAACGGCGCGGTTTTGTGACGCTCCTAAATTTAGATGCACACAGTATCACACTCATGCAGATTGTCTGTGACTCACACCTCTAACTCTGACCCACCCTCTGCTGCCATTTTGTGTCTTCCTTGTTGTAGTAAAATGTCAGACACACAAAGAGCTGTCAATCGCTCAGTATTTGATCCGTAACACTCAAACATAATGAGAATTTAAAGTATATATTTTGATACTCAGTGTTTTGTGTCTTGATAATGTGTTGATTTGAAGTTGTTTTATACACACAGATAAAACTTTTTTTTATTATTATCTGAAACAGGCAGAAGCAGTAAGTCCCACTGAACCTTCCCAGACAGCAACTGGATGAACTTTTCTGGTGTCAACAAACTAAACATAAAGTGTGACCTGACCTGCATCCACTAATGTATCTGACATTATGGTGACGATCATTGCAGGACAGCAGTGTTAGAGCTCCACCACTGGGCTGAAATAAAACGACAACAAACCTTCCCTGCTTCTTTCTGGGAAATCACATGATGAGTCTGTTAGGTTTCATTTGTTTGTATATGACACTCAGATCTGGTGCGACATGCAAATGTTGGCACACAAACCAGGAACAAGAGTGAGCTGTGGTTGTTACCTAATTTAACCCTGCAAGGACATTGTAGCTTCCTGTTCTCTTTATTTTTCCACATTCCTCCAAAGTTGAATCAGAAAAACAATCATACATGAACAATAAGTAAAAGTAAGTGTGCAGCTGCCTTAAACTATATATTATAAAAAACATCAACAAAAAAGTTAACAGAACCCATTTTAAGAAACAGTAAAAACAAGGTTTTAAAGTTAAAGACACGCAAAAAAATAAACTTTTCATGTATGGTAGTCTGAGTAGTTATAAACTCAATATGCTGCATTTATATCATAAAATCAAGTGCTGTGTGTGTGTGCATATACAAGACTGTTCTTTTATTGTATCTCCTGACCTCACCTGACCTCTGCTCTCACAAACCTGATCCATATGTCCACTTATTTATATGAATATAATCTTTTCTGGATTAAGGAGCCATGATGCACATGAGGCAGCTGTTCAAACACTCTGACCAACCACAGTTATGATAAAACTCAATGGCAGGACGTTTTTTTAAGCAGAGAAGCAGGCTGAAGGAACATAATAAGGCCTGTTTGTGGGTCAGGAGGAGCTGCAGGGTTATGGTTTGGCAGATGGCGCCATCTAGCGGCGCGGTTGGAGAACTTCTCAATTTACACTTGAAACTGTGTGTTTTTAAGTTCTTGGTGAAGTAGGTTGGCTTTGGAGTTTGCAGTTTGCTTTATATTGCAGATACAAATGTCAGACAGGCCTGATATTTAAATATATTAATTTTAAATGATGGCCTTAGTTTGTCTTACTCCTGGGCAGCTGTATGTGAAAGTGAAACTAAACTGAGCCCGGATTTGCAGGGGAAAACCAGCCACCTAAACCGTGTTTAGTCCGTGTGAGAACAGCAGAACAGAGCAGCTGGACGCCAAAGCAGAGAGGAACAGTCATGACGAACTTCTCTACAATTTACAAACTGTCCGTGGTGGCCCTCACCTGCTGCTTCCAAGGTAGGATTGTTATGCTAATACTTGCACGGCTGCTCCGGCAGAATACACGACAATGCCTCCGATATATCTAACGTTGTCGATGTTAATGTGAACCAAGAGCTTTTGCATTTACATATAAATCACACAACATTTTACTAAATTACGAATATAACGAAATACTACGGTGAAGTGTCCAAAACGACTCGAACTTTAGCTTTGACTTTTACTTCTTTAACTTGTAGTAATGTCTGTGTTTTACGAGCTACGTGTATGCCGAATTTAGCACAAAGCCCAGATACAAAGGAAAAACCTCTCATTTAATGTTTAAACCACTTATAAATGTATCTTTAACGCGGATGACCTTAAATTGACATTTATTTAAACAGAGTTTGGTAAGAAGCGTCACCTACTGGTGAATCCCGTTACTGCACCCAAGCGGTGGCGCCTTCATTTTAGTTGAAGTAATATAATTTAGATAACAGAGATTATGAAATAAGCACAGGGAGAGAGAAAAAATAGAAACAAAGGCTAAACTTTCTGAGGAAAATAGATTTTACTTTTATTTTGCTCAAGAGGTGGAAACTGTTAAGAGTGAACCATAATATTTTTGTTCCTCCAGAAGGAATCACAGCTTTACATTTATCTCAAACTGTCACGGCTTAAGTCCTGCAAAGCTTTATGCAACATGTTACACTGAATTTATAATTTTTTAATATAAGAACGTTTGTAACTTAATTTTGTAATAGGTTCTGGAAGGAAACTGTACACACCAGCAAAATCAGATTCTTTGGAAAATATGGGGAGAATACCTTACTGGAACATAACGTCAGACTCTAATGTAATCTTTCTGTTATGCTCATGCTTTTGCTGTGCTTTTTTAATTCATTGTCGATTTCTTGCTAGTTCTGCTGGTTGGAGCTTCCAGCAGCAGCTGTCCAGTGCTGGAGTGCTGGTTTGTGCAGGAGAAGGTGGGTCGAGGAGGAGGTTTAACTGGAGCTACGAGCCAGGAAAAATCCCTGCTTCACATCCGAACAGACGCACACAGCCAGGATGCAGCGTCCCAGAAGACTCCAACTGACATCAACCCCGACAGAGTTTACTACGTTACTGGTTGGTTCAAAATGACCCTCTGTAACCACACATTTATCTAGACATATGTGAGAATGGGTGTGCATTGTGCTTTTTGTTTGTCTGAGATTTGTTCTTGCAGACGTCAGGCTGGGTCCATATTCTTATTGTGCTGCTGTTGTTGTTGTGTGCATATACAGTTACTGCGGCAAAATTGTTAGGATACAGAGTCAGAGGGTTTAGTACAAAGTAAATTACAATCCTACTCACAAAAAGAAGTGGTGTTTTCAGTTCAATAATATACCTGAGCATGCTCGCACTTTTCCTGCTTTTCTCTCTTGTGTGGCTACATTCACAGCTGATCCTACACAGATCCTTTTGCAGAAGTTAAATTTATTATTATTGTTGTTTTAAATCTAAGGCCTCTGTAAAGGTCAGTTTAGCTGAAGCGGAGTCTTCCTTAGTGAGGTAAAACTTATTCCATGTAGCTTGTACATTTTTTGTTTTTTCATCAAGAGCTTTACATAAAACACGCAAACAGTTCTGCCTGATAATTCGACTGTATTGCCAGTTTGTGTCACCTTCGCTGAATTAGTCAGAAATGCGATCAGCATTTCTCGTGTTTTAATCTAGATCATGGATTCTCTGCCTCTCTGCATTCTCTTTAGTTTTGTTTCTGCATTTTTACTGTTTCAATCTTTGACCAAAACATCTCTATTTTAATTTTTTATGTTTAGCAAGAGTAGCATTAGAAAATTTAATTATTCACTGTAGGAATTATTTAATAAATTATTTTGTCAAAAGAAAAAAAACATACTGTGATTTCCATTTACCTTTTAAGCAGGTCACATATTTATTGCTGCATCTTCCGAACTCAGCGATCAAGCTAGTGAGCATCTGAGAACTGCTGCTACCATGATGATGTTTTTTATGTCCCCGGTATGACTCCTGTTTTCTCAGACCCGGCCGCCAGTCTGTGCCACCACTCTCTCAACCCTCCCAGAGGCTCCATCAAGAAGCCCCAGTGTGAGATCAACCCCTTCCTGCCGCAGCCCTCCACACTCACATGGGTAGCGTCGCTCACAGACTCTGCGCTCAGCCCCATATACCTGCAAGCCGACTGGTTTTCAGCCGCCTTTCAGGGTCTCAATGAACAGCTGGGCGTTTCCACTATTATGCGTGCTCCCACAGGCAGCAAAGAACACAGTGGTAATTATTTATGGCACAGAAGATCAGTCACAAGTGTCACAATCAGAGAGGTTTATTGTATCTCAGTCATACATGTCTGTCTCCTTCATGCTGTGTGCTTCCTCAGTGATCCTGAGTGTTACCAGTAAAACAGTGTCGGTTAAGTCCAGACTCGGGGAACCGGTGCTGCTGGACTGTGGTTTCTGGGCCGATCCTGCCTCGCCTCTGTCCGGGTCAGGTTTTGCCGTCGAGTGGCGCTACCAGTTCAGAGGCAACGGGCGACTTGTTGTGGCTTATGATGGCAAGACAGACCGTGTGGCCGATACACAGGAGGAAGGGGCCACGTTGGACTTCGAGGGTTTGCACGAGAAAGGAAATGCATCCCTGATCCTGCAGAAGGCTAAAGTGCATCACACCGGGACGTATATCTGCTCGGTGTATCTGCCGTACCTGTTGGCTCAGGTGGCGGTGGACCTTGAGATTGTAGGTGAGGGAAAAGATTCTACTGTTGACGCATTAATCGAGTATCTGCTTTAAATAAAAAACAAACAGATTATGATAAGTCATTGTTGTACGCTTTTTAACAAACCAGATTTTACTCAGTAAGAATGTCATAAATAATAACTCTGTCTTGTCTTTCCTCTTTTGTTGCTCTTCTACCCAGAACCTCCATCTCTGGCCATCCACCCCTCCCCTCTGCCTCTCGCTGTCGCAGGTCAGACCTTGGACGTCCAGTGTGAAGCGTCCGGCTTTGCCCCGCTCACCCTGGAGCTGAGCTGGGAGTTTAAAGGTGCTGATGGGAAGTCCAGACCGTTGGGATCAGGCAGGGTAACGGGCCACAGGCAGGCCTGGGACGGCACCTACAGCCAGAGCACCCGACTGGAGCTCGACACATCCAAGCTGGACCTGGGCAGTGGAGGGGAGGTCACCTGTGTGGCTGTCCATCCAGGAGGCACCCGACGGGCCAGTGCGACCCTCAGTGTCATCGGTAATGTTAAGGAGTTCTGCTGTTTGTTGAAGGAATTTATGAAGCTCTTTTCATTGATAGAAAAATGGGATTTTAAAGATGATTAGGCTATGAAAATTTGTGTTGAAGTACAATATGATATGATTGTGCTTTATCAAAGTATTTATTAGTGCCACAGAGGGAAATTTTGCTTTGTTAAGCAACTGAATGTTGCAAGTGAAATGAATTATTTTCATTGAAATGATGAAAAAAAAAACATGCCTTAAGTCAGATAAAACAGAAATCCATTGAAACTTGATATTTTTTTCTTTCTTTTCAGGATTCAGTACTCCCTCCATTGAGGACTCAATGGCAATGGTTGGTGTGGCACTAGTACTCTACGGGCTTATCAAGTTTGTCTCATGGACCTTCAGCAGCTCAGGTATCACAAATGGGAAAGAATAACCAGAGAAACATTTATTTTAATGCATATGCTCCCATGCTTCTTACTTGTTTGCTTTTGTTCTATGTTATGTTTATGTGTCTGTAATTTACATGTGTATTTGTTCCTGCTGGTGCCTCTTGGCCAGGTCATGTTTGCAAATGACAACTGGTTCTTAAACCTTTTTACCTGGTAACATAAAGGTCAAATAAAATAAAGAAATGAATGACACTGATAACAATGATTCTTAAATTTATTGACGAAATGCACCTATTTATTAATTTGAGGTGCAAAAAGTCCCGTAACCATTTGAATACATAAAACAGAACTCATACTGAAATACATTTTCAATTCAAACATTAACTGATTTTTTTTTTTTCTGTATCTGACTTTTTCTCCTTTATGTCTTCCTGTATAGGCTCAGATGGGGCCGATAAACAAGACAAGGTAAATTTACTTTCCAGACTACTAAGAGACAAAATTATGAACATGTTTGCATAAATGTTACTTATTTTCCACCTTTGCTTTATCACACTTGAGCTGTTGCTTGATGTTTCATCTCTGTTTGTCCTTTTTTCCCCACAGAAAGAGAAGTAAAGATGCGAGAAGACAATCGACTGGACGACTGATGCTGACTCACTAAACCTGTCAGTTTTCATATCTTGAAAGGGAATTCAGGATTGGCTGACCAGATGTTTATGCATACAATTATATCTTTTTTTTAGCAGTTATAATGGTGGTAAATCTGAATAAAATTTACATTTTTTTCACAGAAGCTACTATTCTGAGTCAGCTCAAAGTCCGCTAAATTCTGAATCAGCTTTTTTCAGTCTTTTTTTTTATTATTGTAGAATAGACGTATACTTGTGTCAGGAGTTCATTTTTGTCTATAAAGGTTTTCTGCTTTGTGTAAATATATGTGTTGTAATAATTCTTTATTTTTTCTCTTTAAAGTAATCTAGCTGTTTATCATATTGACCTCCCTCTGTTTACATGCTGTATGTTGTCATAAACACTGGAATAGTGACAGAAACTTAGAAGAAAATATAATGTGCTAAAATATCCGCTACAGTTTGGAGATAAAATGCTCAGCTCTGTTTATATTCCAGTAACTTTCTAAGGGACCAGAGGTGAGTCCTGATGTGTTATTTTAAGAAGGACAGTAACATTTTGATTTGTCTAAAATGTCCAAACCCACACACTCAGTCATATTGTTGTAAATACAGAGAATCTAATGTATGTACAACACATATATTCTCACGTTGTTGCTACATGTGTGTTTGCTTTTATCGCGTCATGATCTGAATAATGCGCAGTGTGAAATTTAACATGTGAAGGAAATGGTACAGAATTAACTGAATTCTGCATTTGAATTGGAATAAAAACTTTCTTTGAAACGTGCTACCCCCTTTGCCTTTTAATTAACAAGTCTTGTGCCACATTATATTAGTTGTCTTAGGCTGCTGTATATGAAAGTAGTTTAACAGAACAATGGCTCTTGGTTTCATTTACTTCTTTCTGTTAGCAGCAGGGATGACATGTTTCAGAATCAGAAAGCTTTTTATTGCCAAGTGAGCTTGCACACACAAGGAATTTGCCGTGGTAGAATGAGGCTGGTACATCACAATAAAATAATATCCTTGTCAATGACAAAACTGCAGAAAGTTTCAGAGTAATTAAAAGCAAAATGACCGCAGCTGTAAAAACACGCATTAATGACAAAGTGTGAACCGTAGTGAACATAGAGTGTTGATTTAATAGTATTGTATACACTGTATATGTGGGATTGATGTATAATTATATGAATTAATTAATATGTAAATAATTTTCATTGTATGTATAACATAGTCAGACACAGCTATTGGTCCAATATGTCTGCAGCAGAGAAGGAAGTTTGTAGTTGTATGGCCACATTTCTAAGAACCTAGTTGTTTTGTCACCGCATCACCTACTGAAGTTGGTAATTGCAAGCAGGTGCACTTATGGTTTTAAAGGTTTATTCCACACAAAATACTTCTTTGTGTCCAAGTGCTTGTAATTTTAAAGGCTTATTCCATCCAAATTGTACTTTCTGTTCAAATACTTACAGTTTAAAAGGTTTATTTCACACAAAATACTACTTTCTGTCGTAACACTTATACTTTTAAAGGTTTATTCTACCCAACAGTACTTTCTGTTCTTACAGTTTAAAAGGTTAATTCCCCTTAAACAGCGTTTTATAATGAACAAATTATATGTTTAAAGGTTCAGTCAACCCAAAATAGTACTTTCTGCCCCAAGTAACTAGTTTGAAGGTTTATTCCACTCAAGTAGTACTTCCTAAGTAAAAGATTTATTTCACCCAAAACTACACACAGTTTGTTGTTGTTGCTGGTGTTTTTGTTTTTGTTGTTGTTGTGTTTTGCCCCTGTAAGTAAGCTAGAAAAACTAGCTTTCCTTTGGACTAAACGAGTGGTTGTCATGTTTTCTGACCCAAGAAAGAATTAATTAAAAAAACAACAAGTAGTGGTAGTTTTTCATATGCATTTCTGCTTAAGTTTTATTTATTATTTATTTTTGCTTGTATCCTGTTGTTAAAAATATAAATTGGAACCGGCCTTAAATGAAACGTTAAGCAATTTACATCCGAAGTCGGCTTTTAAAACAAACAAACAAACAAAAAAACGTCTAAGATGCCTTCGCAAAACTCGTCACTTGCACGTCGTCCAATGGCCAACGACATTACTGATCGTAAGCCATTTTTTGACCAATCAGACACAATGATGCTGGTCGGACGTTAGCGGTTACATTTTCCAGCTCGAGTCCACAGCGTTGCTAAACTGGCGGGCATTGCTTTGGGAAACAGAACGTCTGTGGGATTAAAAACAAGATTTTACGTACTATCTAGGATTTCTTTGCCTGGCTGGCCGCGTAATGAAGACAGAATGCGGTCTTGTCTTTTGATTTCTTGTTTTCTTACTTAGAAAAGTCACAATGCTAACTAGCTAGCTAATGCTAATGTTGGCTAACTAACAGATTTCTTATCTTACACCGCGGTGGAGCGTCTTCTTGCTGTGTTGTCACGTTAAACAGCTCGTAAACAAGAGGTCGGTAAAGGTGAGTATATCATAATGTGTGCAAATGGTTCTTTCTTAACGTTCGATCTTGTCTAATTCGCCTTCTGTAATGTACTGTGTCATCAAGCTCTGATCATTGTTTAGTTTCACCAACATTTCCAAGTAATCGAAAGCACGTCTGCTATTGCATCTTTGCCTGATTTCGTAAACTACAGTTAGCATAGTATCTATGTGCTCACGAAGCATAAAATTTACAAGAACATGATGTTTCTCTCTCTTGTGTGTGTGTCGGGTTTATGTAGGACACTTGACATTTAGTGGCTGCCTCTATGCTTATTTTCATAATTGATGACTACACTGTCAACTGGCTAATGGTGGAACATTCGCGAACATGTTTATCACGACTTTCCAGAACAACATAAGATGGGATGTTTACGTAATCGTCTAGTTTATGTGAGTTTCCACCTGCTTTTATCCGGTCAAACAGTCATAACGTGGAAAAACACGGAACTAAGCATCCATAGTGAATACAAAGGTATGTGTTTGTGGAACGCTTGTAACTGCATAATTGTGACCAAAGAAATGTTTGTGTATTGTAGTGTTCTCAGGCGTGGCAGTTATGATTATGGACAATATTATGGTTTTGTTTCTGATGTTTAGGCTGTACGTGTCTGTCTGATATCCTTGTTTGTATTTGGAAAGTACATCACGATCAACATGATTTCTGGATAAGTTGTATGTGTAAAATACAGAAAGGATCTCTTTTGCACTTATTGTATGGGTTGTAATCTATAGCCCCCATTAATGAAATCAGTTATTGTGATGTCATTTCAGTCACAATGCAGGGGCTGCAATCTCTTTGGCAAGCGGGCAAATGCGTGATATAAATGGAATTGATCTTTAAGGACCATTTCAACCAGTAAAATTACCGGTTTGGTTGTTATCAAGGGCATGGAGCAGGTAACATAATGCAGAGATCTAAGAATACTTGCTTCCAATCAGTTTTTTGGCCACAACACAGTTTCCTATCATGTCAGACAAAGAAACACAACAAATTTGCTGAAACAAAAAGATTAACAGGAACATGATAATATTTGGCAAATTTGCTTGAAAAACAGATGAATCCATCCATCCATTATCTATACACCACTTAATCCTGACTTGCGTTGCGGGGGGGGGGGGGGGGGGGGGGGGGGGGGGGGGGGGGGCTGGAGTCTATCCCAGCTGACTCCCTGTGAAGGCAGGTGACACCCTGGACAGGTTTGTCACAGGGCTACACTTTGAGACAGACAAAACAGATGAGTCATGTTTTTAAATTACTGTAGATTAATTAACAAATCTCTACATTTATGACAAACGTTTCAACAGATTGAGTGTTAAACCTTGAGCTTTCTGGTACCACAAATAAAACGCTGGCATCGTAATACCTAGTCCATTGTGTAAGATTGCTCATCAGTTCGTTGATCAGACAAGTTCTAATTAAATTCACTCTTCACAGTTCTCGTTTATGCAGGACTTTAGAAACATGAAAAAACATGTTTGTATTCCTCAAAGGCAGGTATTAATAGCCCTACTCCTCTTGTCACTTTCACTCAAGTGGCACATTTTTGTTGCTGGTTCTTTAGGTTTTTGTCAGACGATTTATAGTCTAAAGTCACTTTACAATCCTGCAAATTTCAGCCAAGCATCATTTACAAAATGAGCATGAAATGAAACAATTACATTTTGACATTTAAGGACCACAAAAGGCGTTTTAGTGTGTCGTTGTTTGTGTCCATCGAACAGCCTGGGTAAGCAGTCATCAGGACTGTTGCTTTGTCCACCTTAGTACCCTCAAGCTTGCCATCGTGTGCTCTCATCAGGTCACAGGAGATTGCTTGTATGACATCTTGTACGTGAAGCTGCGCTGATCACAATGTGCTTGTTTGTCTTTTCTGAAAGCGGACACAAACAACATTTTGGATGGCGGTGGCTCCGGCCTGGTTGGCAGATAAGATCATCATCCTTAATGATGATGATGATGAAGACGAGGAGAGTCCTCAACCCTCCTGCCCTGCCTCCACCTCATCTTCTGATCATCACACCAAAAAGGTCTCGCCTCTCAAATCTTTGCAGCCGGTGCCCACACACATTACAAAGTCACCTTTTGCCTCAGCGAAGAAGGACACTCATGTTCTCCAGGCAGAGAATCAGAAGTTGTTCACTGAGGTGAGTTCTTCAAGCCGTCTAGATAAATACTCTTTAGACAAATGTCTGTCTGCAATCCAAACTGTTTTAACATTTGGTTTGCTGCTCTTTTAATTTTCTACTCTACTGATATTGTATTAATTGGAAATGAATATATATGCCCCATTTTTTAAGAAGACTTACAGCAATATTTTCACAAAATTTGTACCACCTGAAGTTTTTGTAGATGTACAAATGACCATCTTAACTTTGGACAATAGTTGTTATGCCAGTGAAACTTTACTGACAACACGTTGAAATCGAATGTAAAATCCTAAAATTACATTAAAGTGTGGGATATGTGTCCTTGTTGTTTGTTCTACCTCCCTCCCCCTTCCTTCATGCTGATGATTTACCAATCATACTTTTATGGAGCCTTTCTTTATGTTCTTTTCCTTCCGTCCAGTTTGTGGAACACTGCTCAGGTCTCACAAAGGACTGCCCCGAGGTCTTGACGTTCCTCCAAACCAAGCACGCCAAGGCCAGCCCCGACTATCTGTCGTCCGTGGAGTTCAGGAACACCCTGGGACGATGTTTGACTCGTGCTCAGAACAACCTCTCTAAAACATTTGTCTACATTAATGAACTGTGCACTGTGCTCAGGCAGCATGCCACCAAGAGGAGGCAGACCCTCTCCAAGGTTGAGCCAAGTCCATCTACCTCAACATCAAGTACTCTGCAGCCTACCTCTGTTACGCTCAAAAGTAAAGACAAGAATAAAGGTAAGACGGATGAAGGGGCAGAAGGGCAGGAACTGGCAGCAGAAGAGCAACCTTCCACCTCAGGGCTGCAGGAGGACAATAGACAGGATCAAGAGAAAAAAGCAAAAAGAGCATCCAGGAAACAGGTTAGATTTTACTACACATGACTACTGTTGTTTTTGGCTGACAATATGCTTAAAATAGTTCTAATAGGGTTTGTAATCCTTTGTAATTTTACTTGAATGGCACTTTTAAAAAGTTGCTTCAGTGCTTTATGAAGTGCTTCTCTTAAGAGTCATAATGGAGAGCAAAACAAAAACAGATAAAAGAACTTAAACATGGACAGTCGGTCAATATGAAGTAATCAAACAGCAAATAAAGTTGTGATCAGTACACGTAAAAGATGTTGAAAGCTGTTCTTTTCTTTTGTTTGTATCCCTCAAACATAACTTGTTCAAATATAGAAACCATTAGGGTTATATGTCTCGTGAAATTTCAGAAGTTCAGATCAGTGGTTCATAGGATAACTCCTCTTAACCTTCATATCTTTTCTTAATGTCTTCTAGATAGCATACCTGGAGAACCTGCTGAAGGTGTACAACGAAGAGATCTGCCGTCTACAGCAGGCTGAGCTGAGTATAGACGACCTGGCAGCTGAGGACTCTTTATACATCCAGGAGCACAAGCTTAAACGCAAGGTGAGGGCAGAGTTTGATCCAGTTTGAGGCTCCACTGGTTATGAATAGGGCTGCAGTTCCAGATTAAAGCTGTAAAAAAAAATAAAGAACCATATTGCAACATGTTGTGGGGCAGCTACTCTTACTTCTCCCCCTGTTCTTCTTCTTCTTTTTCAGATGATGAAAATATATGAAAAGCTGTGTGAACTAAAGGGCTGCAGCACACTAACAGGCCGAGTCATTGAGCACAGAATCACCTACGCGGGCACTCGTTATCCTGAGATCAACAAGAGGGTGAGCTTCCCGTTGTGGGTTTAAATGTTTTTGTTGGTGATTTTCAAAAACAACAATCTGTGCAAAACTTGAGTTGTAGTTGTAGGAATTCAAAAAACATCATACAGAACTATGTGAGACAAGAACTCAAAGATATAACCATGTTTTGGGCTATAGACTGGGTAGGGGAGCTTTTTTATTTATTTTTATGTGTGTGAGTTGGGCTCCTGACTCAGAACCCTTCCTCCTTCCTGTCAGGTCGAGCGTTTCATCAACAGACCAGAGACACAGACCAATCCTCCAGACTACCAAGACATCCTCCAGCAGGTGTTACGTGCCAACGAGCGCCACAGTCTGTGCTTGAGCAGAAAACAGCTGAATCAGATCGCCCAGGAGGCCTTCAGAGAGACTGGGAGCCGCATGCAGGAGCGCCGTCAACTGGACCTGGCGTACAACTTCGGCTCACGCCTCACCGACGACTACAAGGCTGGTAAGACTGTGGACAGGAAAGAAACACTCCTGGCTCATGTGTTAGGCTACATGGTCCTCAGGTTTCTTACTACTTTAAAATGTCTGATTTGCTTATAATTAGTACAGTGTGAGAATTAAATTACCGGTAGTAATAATCAACAATGAAAATCAAGCTTCAAGGGTTTGAATTATAGGCTGAAACAGAAGACAGAAGTTTACCTCGGCTATCCTCATGTGCGACTCAGAGCATACATTTTCATATTGGCTTATTAAAATGATTTTTAAACCTACACATCTTCAGTTACATATTCCAGAGTCATTTTCTGTCTCCTATTCAAACCAATTCTGAATGCAATTTCCAAAATATCTTATGGGTTCTAAGAGCTACCATGTCTCTAAATTTCAGCCTTTGATAAAAGTGTCCAGAAGGCACCATTGGTCAGAGAAAGTTATTTTTGTCTTCTTTCTCCCTCTGCCCTCATCCACACCATATCTAACTCTTAATGGATCATCTCCATATTCCTGTACAACACTGAGAAAATATGTGACATTATTTTACAGATTTTTGCTTCCATTGTTACACTTACCTTTTCTTTGTGTTTCACCCTCATTGTTCCCATACTTTCTCTCGTCTCTCCTTTCATCCTTCACCTCCCTCTACAGCCAAGGACCCGGCTCTGTCGGACTCTTCACTGCATCAGAGGCTGCGGTCGAACAGAGAATTGGCCTTATCCCGCCTGGAGGAGGTCATCACCAAGTACGCTGTCAAACAAGAGGACGTAGAGGAGCAAGAAAGGAGCAAACGACTGGAGAAAGATAGCAAAAACAAAGAGGTAAAGGAGCCATCTTAAACGGCACTGCTTTCAATCCATGTTGTGCTACATGTGTGCTAATGCACAAATGCTTGCATCAAAGCAAGATTTAAAAAGAGGTTCTTCTTCTCCTGAATTCAGAGCATCTCCTGGAGGTAAATTATGGATAAAATTGTACCCAAAGCACCTAACTTGCTGAACATCTGTTTATCAATACATTATGATTTACCAGTGTAGCTAGGCGGCTGTGCACAGAGAAGCCTGAACACTGCTGCAACTCAGATGGATGAGTGACAGTAGAATAGTGAAGTAAGGCGTTCTAATGTCAGATGTACTCAAGTTGAAGCCAAGTGTTTGTTTTTTTACCTGCATGAGCTGTTTTGTTTTTTTTAGCAGAGCCTTTTAAATAATAGTATCGCCATTGAGGAAGACACATTTAGTTTCACTTAATCTAGAAAATTTTGTCTGATTGTATTCCTACATTATACGAGCACAACAGATCTTTAATTTTTCCATTCTGCTTGATTTTTTTTAGAAGAATTCAGGAAAGGAGGCAGAAACTAAAGAGGAGAATGGAGTGGAAGAGGAGGAAGAAGAGGAGGAGGAGGATGATGAAGAAGATGAATCATCAGACCCAGACATAGAAGAAGAGATCCAGGCCAGCACTCAACAGGATGGACCAGGTTAGCCTACAGATCCTATACAGGCGGGTTTAACCAGATAGTGTTCCTGTCACTGTGAACCTTCATTTTGAGTTTGCAGTAAATCCTGATATGCGTTTGTGAAAAAGAAGAAATCATTAATATCTCTTTAACTGAACATGAGGATTTGTCCCATAGACTTCATTCTGAGAGGACGTCATGCACGTAAATGCTTTTCAGCCTCCCTGTTTTTGTGAGAGTTTCATTTGAAGCTCTGAAAAGAACAGGATGGTGTTTTTGTGTATAGTGCAAGAGAAGTATGAAAGAAAAACACTGAGGTCCTGTTTTGTTTTCACTCATTCAAGAATTGTTTTTAATTGACAGTTAATTCTGATTTAAATTGTGATTCCAAAAACGTAATCTTATTGTGACCATGTGCACCCACACCATTCTGCAGCCCAGAAACGTCTGACTGCCTCTCCTTATCAGTCTGCTTTAGGGGAAAAACTGCTCTGACCTGTTTGTATTTCTTTAAACAAGTCAGTCGTCCTGGTCAGTGCTGAGCCATGGATGCAGCAATGGCGTCCTCTCAAAACAGTGATGGAAGTATTACTTTGGTTGAACATTTGCTTGCAGGGTAACAAGCACTGTCATTCAGACGGTTGATTCACAGACAAAACTTGCAGGGCTGCATTAATGTACGATCCAAATCCTTGACAAAATGTGAAATTTTCAGTGTTGCCACCCTGGAGGTGGTGGTTGTTGTTTCTGTAGGTAATGCATGAAATGCACAGCCAGTGGCAGATATACCTGCAGTTTACATCTGGTGATTCAGAACAGAAAAAATGTAATTGCATTAATTACCTTTCTTCTGTAGATGATGATGAGAATGAGGAAGACAACAGTGTCGAGGCAGAGGGAGCCCGTGAGGACGCTAACAAGGAGGATCAGACTGATGATCAGATGGGAAGTGTTTCTGCCGGCGAAGAAGAGCCAGTCACAAGTGGACTCAGTCCTGTTTCTGATGAAACCAAGTCCCAAATCTCTCCATTGTCTGACATCCGCTCCCCTAGAGACAGTCCCAGCCAATCGGAGCCCATGATGACCGATGAGCAGAGGCCGCTACTGTCTAATGGTGACCTCGCAACATTACAGGAGCCTGTGGATTCCTCCGATCATGTTTCAGGCACCATTAAAGTCACCAAGAACTCTGCAGATGTCTCGATAGCAGTCAATGGAAAGTCTTTACCACCGTCACCAGCAGCTGTAGACAATTGTGATACCAACGGCAGGTCGCCGCCGCCGAGCCCCAGAACTACGAGGAGCCAGAAGAGGAAGAGGGAGGAGGTCACATCAGGGAACACCGCAAATACTAAGCACATAATCATCCATGACAGGTGAGGCTTTTTGTGATAGATTAGGACTGCACGATATGGAGAAAATATCACATACTAATTTTTATTAGATACTGTGAGATTAATAATAAAACAAATGGTAACTTATTTATGAAAGTGATTGTAAATAAAATGCGGTACACTTGACAATTGAATAGATTGGGGAATTTTCTCATCTTTTTATTGGTGAAAAGCTGCCTGAAATATTTTCAGTTTCATTAATTTGCTGGAACAGAAAACAGAAAGCATGAGCTGATGTAGTTTTATAAGGACTTTCAAAATGTATACAGCGTTGCCACATCGTACATTAAGTATGAGCAGAGCTGCGACAGCGGAATGGAGGAAATGAGGAAACAAGGGTTTCATCAGACACACACGGGGCCTGTTTCCTGGTATGAGGAGCAAACGTAGTACTTTCAAACTGAAGCTTTCTCAAAAATAATTTGAATTAATTTGGATTTTGCCTAGATTCTAATTAAATGATCAAATTGCATGAAAGAAAGAGGTCTGGTGTGGGAAGGCTGAAATCAGCCTCAACCTTTCATGAAAGTGACTTTAACCTCTGCTGTCTGCCAGTGAAGCCACTTCAGTTTATCTTTATTTCATTGAGAACCATCAAAAGCAATCATGCATTCTGTCTTTGACCAGCGACCAGCCAGACGACTTTTTATTCACAAGAGAAAAACACTCAATTAGGATTTTTGTTCTGCTCTGCTCTTTTTATTTGATCATACGCTCACCAATTGATCACTTTTATGCCAGAAATAACAAATCCAAATTTTAAATTCCACTTCTTTAAACCATCGGACTATTTGAAATGTCATTAATTCTCAGGGCTCCAAGCAGTTTCTAGGAGTTTCTTTGATGCTGTAACATTTTTACTCAATGTTTGGCTCATTTTTCACTGCGACATGAACTCCTGCACCTCAACAGCACGATAGCCAGATGAGAGGAGAACTTACAAATGCCACAGTTGTAATGTCATAGATTACTATAAAAAAGAAAAGAAAAAAAAAAGCTTTTCTTTATTTGACAAAGTGTTGTTTTTTTAAAAAATCTGGATGCGAACACTGGTGACACACAGAATTTATTTATTTTATTTTATTGAATTTTATTTATTTATTAGCTGGTTGGAGGAAACGATTAATTTTAAGCAGCTGAATTTCTTTGATTACCTATTTTTCAAAACATCTGGAATTAACATGTACAACATTTTTTCAAGGTGTTTCCAAGACTGTACATACTATAGATATTTTAGTATGTAGATTTTTTTTTTAAATTTATTCCCATGCTTGTCTTCTGTCTGCTCTATGTGAGCACAGCCTGCAGCTAAACCAAACATTTCCTTTAAATTTTGGTAAGAGCAAACTTTTTTCTAAATACTGAGGTTTTAATTTAGATTTGAATCATTATCCAGACAGAGCAGCACATCACAGATGAGTAGATCAAGGACAGTGGAAAAGTTAAAAATCCAACAATTCTCTCTTGTTTTTACCATTTCTGGCTGTGATGATAATAGAACGAATGTGATTTTTAAATATATATACCATGCCTTTCAAGCTCACTGGCAGGTTTTGGGTTTCAGAGGGTTAAAAATGTTGGCTGTCCACCTTTAAAACTTGAATATTTAACAATATATCACTGGATTAATTTAATAGGAAAGTTGTTGAAGCATTCGTTACATTTCCCGTCTCTTCATTGATTTGCTTGAATTTTTTTATTCTCTCCACAATAATTCCTCGGTCCATCCGTCTCTGCCTCCTCCTCCCCACAGTGAGGGCGATATCCCTCTGGACATGGGTGTGTTTAGCAGCAGTTCTCTGCAGCAGGCGGAGTCCACCCGAGCAGACACTCCAACCCAGGAACTGGTCAGCAGCTCACAGTCGACGCCGCCTCCCAAGAGAAACAAGGTGGGCAAAGTATAGTCGTTAAATGAGAATTCAGGATATAAATGGACGTTACTGATCGCAGTGAGGATTGTACACACAAGACTTTGTGAGTTTCGATGTGCACATCATGGCTTTAAGATGACTGTAACACTTCAGACAGAAATCTGCCTCTGAAATGTTGAGGCTTGATCTAGATGAAAACTTTGTCAGTATTTTTTATATTTAGAAACTGAAACAAATCGACTCTTATTCCTTTCTATCCTCTGTTCCATTTGTAAGACGAGGACCAGATAGTATACAGTGTTTTTTAAAAAAAACATGTAGCAGAAGCTTTAATGACTCTGAGGTATTGCGGATTATGCTACAGTCAAGTTATTAAAAAAAAAAACATACAAACATTTAAAGCATCTGTTCTGTTTGCACACGTCATGACCGGCTTGAAGGCCACAACAAAGACGGGAGATGAACCAAGAGTTTTCCTGCAGCCTGTTGAAAAATTTCTAAGTAAAGCAAAAACAAAGTCAGAGTGTGGTGCTGTAGTCAGCCGACACGACTGTTTCACTCCTCTACAGTCCACTGTGACTTCTGTTTTTTTCATGACAATGACAAAAGCAATGTGGCCAACAACAGTACAAACAAGAGCAGCGACATTTCTGGTTGTTCCACCTTCTTTTCACACTGCCAACAGCTGCAGCAGTAGCACTAAAGCAGCAGCACGTTTTGGCCTTTATACGCTTCAAATAAACATTATATTGTATATTGTGATTTTCCTCAAGTAGACAAGTTCATACTTTCTCAAATATTGGTTTTCACAAAAAAAAGAAGTCACTTTTGGTGTTGATCCCAAAAATTGCTTTTTTTTGGCCACAATTCAATTCAAAAAGCGATATATGTCCCCTGGGGGCAATTTAAAGCACATAGAGCAGGTTTATCAAGTCCACCTTGTCTACCCAGGCTAAGGGCATTCCTGGTGCTTGAACAGTAGAGACAGCTCAGAACATTCCTCCAGAATCATAAAATGAAAAACAGAATTTTTTGCAAGGTTTTTTAAAAAAAAAAATTGTGAGGAATCCTGATTGGTTTTCTAACTGTGCCACTGTTTCTGTGTCCAGGTCAACGTTGCGACCCAGTGTGACCCGGATGAAGTCATCGTCCTGTCAGACTCAGAGTGACCTTTCAGCTCTGAAGTCTCCCACAAGCACACTTCTCCAAAGAGCATCCTTCTCCGCTGGCTCGTACGTAAAGGAAAAAGCTGAACGTTTTTCTTCTTTCAGCTCACGTGCTCGTATACATACAACTGCAACAGTCCCGTTCAAGTTTTGGCAGAATGCACAGCAGCCGTTCACAGCTGTGGAAAACCGGGAAGCGGCTTTTGTAAAGGACTTCTATAAAATAATTATAACCCAACATTTATTGGACAGCCAGCTTAAACGGGAAGCTTTGGGATGTTTTTGTTATGCCTCTGCTGCGTGCGTCACAGAATACAGCGTTTACACCATGCTGGGAAGCAGCCGGCTGACGTTGACCACGACTGTCTTATCTCACTTCATGGTGCAGTAGAGACGCCCTCCTCTGACCGCAGAAGCACCATGATAAATATTTGGCTGAAAATATTTCTCCTGGGATGCTCGTCCTTTATTTTGAACCCTGAACTATAGTCGGTGTGTTTTTAGGTGAGAATCAGTGCCTGACAATAAGACCCGAGTAGCGGTGCGTACAGTCAGCTTTTGTTTCACACAAACGCGACTGACGAAGGCTCCGTTAGCTCACCGCCAGTCTGTTTACACTTTCATATTCCAACTGAGTTTTTTTTCCCCCGCAAAGGACAGGGAACGAATGGCCTGATACAGAGTTTTGAGACGACAATGTTTTATCTGCTGTTTTATTTATGATGTGTTCTGAGTGAGTGAGCTGTGTGGTGACTTGTACTGCAAGATGTCTGGACTTATGCAGTGATAATGGGAAAACATTGACAGTTGGAAATGTTTCCTTTTATATTTCCTCTCCAAGCTGATTTCTATTTAAGATTTAAAATGAAGGAGGTTAGTTTCTGTGGCTGCTGCAGCCTCACCAAATAGTTTGAGATGTTTGACGGATCAGGCTGACAGTCGTTCATATTTTTCTCCTTGTCAACAAACCCAACAACTGGTAATGAACTAACAAGTGTTGTTTGTGTTAGCGATGATTTGTCTTATTCCTTTTCGTCCACTGACCTTCTTCACCGCAGACATTTGAATCGTCACAGCAGATGGGACGAATCCCATTAATTAGTGTTCCAGTGAGCCAGCAGGCTAAATACCAAAAAGATAAATGGAATTCAGCCTTTTTTTTTCTTCTTCTGTGTATCAAATGTCTTCTGTGAAGGTCAGATGTTGTCAGAAATCTAATGAAAACACATCAGTGAGCCACATTGTTGTGCTGACAGACATGTTTCTTTATTGTCATGGACACACTGTAGCTCTCTTTGACACAATTTCACAAACTCCATAAAATTGAACTTAATCCGGCTCTGAACACCATCCCACATAAATGCAATACTTACTCCTTTTTGAGTAACGTAAGCTAAAAACCACAGTGCCCAGCCATTTTAGGAACCAGTGAAAGATTCTGGTCCTCTTTGGGCTCGGGGCTGGAAGCAGGGTGAGACAGACACCTTTTGGTTAACGCTGAGAAAAACACAGAGTAACATCAGCCTCATGTTTTACAGCACAACAATGTTTCCTCACAACAAATAGCCAAGGAAGGAAAACTAAATATCTCCCTTAACACATCATCAACAGCGGTGCGTCTGATAAATTCTACCTGTCCCTCTGCCCAGCCCAGATAACAACATGATCTGAAAAGTCCCGTCTTTTAAAGAATAGTAAAAGAAGCTGATTCAGCTTTATTCCGACACTAAAATGTTTCAGTGTGAAAAATGTTGCCATCAGAATTCAGATTTCTCCTTCCCTGCTGCGTTTAGCATTAAGTTTTTCTTTGTTCCTAGCGGTAGTTTTATTCCATGTTGGACAGTGTTGCACTGAATGTCTCCAGCATCCGATGAATGAGATGTTTTGTGGCTGGTATGTTCTGTGTCCTTTATTAAAATCTTAAGTTAGAATGGTTCCTGTGTAACAGAGCGCCAGAATGGTGATGGATGTCTGAACCTTTTGGTGTTTTCTATCTTTTATCCTGATAAAATCCCACGTTTTGCTATTCCTTTCTGAAATCCATTTTTTAAAATAAAATTTTACCTCATAGGTGAAATAATATTTTGGGGTAAATGCTCTTTTCAGAGTTGCTAAAATAAAGACTTAGAATGTAGTTCTCTTTGCTACAGTCTCTTTTATGCAGAGGAGTGATCCATCATTCACTGTGAATTTTGTTTTTTCCTTTTTGATATTGAAATAAATGATACGTTTTGTTAAAAACAGCCTCCGTGTTGCTCATTTGGATTTTTAATTCTTCTTGAACTTTATATAAAATACATATTTACAGTGTAGAAGAATTCTGAGTGTGTTCAGGAAAGGCTGCAGATGAGTTTTTATTAAGTTAAAGTAGTTTTACAACAGCGACTATCCTCAGCTGGTTCATATCCTCACATATCATACCAGAGATGCAACAGATCTGTGCTGACACTGGTTTTATTTAGTGGCTCCGGTGTCGGCTGTTATGTGACCAAAACGTTCCTCATGAGTTCTCTGTGGTGACGTACACACCCTGGGCTGAGACATTGGGCAAGAAACAGTTGATTTAATGTTTGCTGCTGTACTACTGTACAACAAATAAACAGCATTACTGTCACTGCAACGTGGACCCTGGACAGGTCGCCGGTAATTGTTAATCAGTTTTTGGTAATTAATTAGTTGTTTTTTTTTTAACAAGCAGAAATGATGAATATTCCCTGGAGGCATTTACATTTAGATGATTTACTGTTTCTCTCTAATTTCTATGACTGTAAAGTGAATGTCAACTGTTGGTGAAAGATTTAGAAATCTGAGAAACACGTTTCATTATTTTCAGACATTTAATAGACACTACTATCTTTCCAGAGGATAATAAAAAATAAAGGTAAGTGTGAGATGCAGATCTAATAATTTTATTACACATGATGGAAGCCTAAGTAATATTCACTGCTTTATTTTTGTTGAGCTCTGAGTCAGATCATAAGTTACTTTGTTTGACAGTTGCACAGGTAATAAGTAAATAATTAAGTAATTAAATGCTGATATTTTTTTTGTTCACTAAATCCAGCTCAGTTTCTGTGTCCCAAGTTAGTAATAAGTTATAAAAACGAAAAGGGCAACAAACTGGAAACAGTTTTGTGCCACTTACACTCAGAAGGTGTGGCTCACAGCTAAAATGTACATTCTTAAATGTCATCTTCGTTTTACCATACGAAGTTCTTTTCGTATCTTTTCCCAATATCCCTTTTCCCTCTGCTGGAAAACACCTCTATTCAGTTTTCCTATATTTATAATTGGGCATTTTATATCTACGGCCCTCTTGTGGACACTTGGTGAAACTGCAGTCTTTTAATATAAAGTTAGATATAATAACATCTAAACGTACTTCCAGTAAAATTTTCCAAAATAAAAGGCTTACGTTCGCTAGTCGAGGTTACGTTTGAAACTGAGGACGGTTCCAGTTGTTAGTGTAAGTGTACACGTTTCGTGATGTTTTAGCGTTTTTCTGCTCAGTCAAAACCAATAAGCTAAGTAAGCTAACATATATCTTTTTGCTAACTTCAGCCCAGTTTGTGAGTCGTACGTTAGTTATATGTAATGAGAACACCAGAGACAACAAACTGGCGCTAATTTTGTGCTACTTAGAGCCAGGAGTTATTTTAAATACATAAAGCTACTTATCGTAAATTGCAGTGATACTTTATGTAACAAATTAGAACATTAAACGATTACAGCTAACAGCTAAGATTAGCCTACACTTTGTAACTGGGGACGGTAGCCAGTGTTTATATGCTGTGTGAATAACGTTTTTGTCAGAAATAAACAACCAAATCACGATGACTGGAAGCTGGATTAATTTGAATGACCGAGCGTTCACTTGAAAGTTACGATGCACTTTACGTTTTCTCGCCAGTCACGCGTAAACGTTTATTTTGAAACTCATGTGAGGAAGTGTAACGTTAAGTTATTTTGTTAAACTTTACACTGCAGTTCCACAGTGTGTCCACTAGAGGGCAGACTGAGTTAAAAACTATAAAGACGTGGGCGCGCCGGTAGCTCAACCGGACGGCGACCCAGAAACAGGGGCTATAGTCCCTGACTCAGCGGTCGTGAGTTCGACTCCCGCTCATGGCCCTTTGCTGCGGGACTCTGCCCAATCTTCTCCCCCACTTTCCTGTCTCTCTCTACTGATCTACTAAAATTAATAAAGGCAAAAAATAAATGATAATAATAATAATTAAAGCTGCAAGCAGCGTTGGTCGGCTCCTCGGTCTGCGTTGGACCCTCACGCCCGTCTGACCGTTCTTCAAGTTAAACCTGCTTTAAGGTGAAGGAGCCATTTTTCTGTCTCTGCTCAGCCTCAGACGGTCAGTGAGTCACATGACCAGCTGCACTGACTTGTGATGATGTCACGATGACTCAGCGTTTTTCGTTCCCCTGGTTGAGAGCTGAGAGTTTTACTCGCTTTCTCTCACTTTAACTCTCCCATACAGCCACAATTTTCACCAAATGTGTGTAAAAACAACATATTTTTGTGGGAAATCTTGTTAGGAAGCCTTCAGTGTCATTTTTAAAGCTGTAGGACCTTTAGTTTTTTGTGTAGATGACCAACTGACACAGCATGTCTGCATGTGCCCCCATAGACACCCATACAAAGTATGAACCGAGGCTGCAACAGCTCATCAACTTTCACGGCTCGCCATTCGAAAACCATTTGAGATATGCCAAATCCCTTCAGAACTTTTGTACATCAAGGCCTTCTCTGTTTCTTGTGCAATTTTCAACTTGATAGGATTTACGGTGTCAGACAAGTTAATATTTTTTCAACAGATGTTTTTGCTCATTTTTTTAGTTTGAAAGGCAAATTGTGGACTTCCTGTTTGAGATAGGTCAGGGGTATCAGCACGAGATTTGTGGGTCTCATTGAGACGAACAATTTGATGTTGGTTTGATCTCTGTGCGACATTCCTACTGGCCGCTAGAGCCATTTTAGTGTGTTTTTCTGTAACTAGGTGGCGCTAGAGAGCATTTTCTTGTTTT